ATAGTATATATTGGAAAATGATTGATACAGTATATACTGCAAAACCAGCAAAAATAACAACACCAGACCTCTCAAACCTCTCATTCCTCTGAGAAAACAAAACCTCAGTTGAGAGAAACCAGTGGTTAATTTCTTCGAGCATGCCTTTGTGTGCACAACAAAAGGAAGAGCAGCGAGCTGGAACTACTAGTCTAACAAGCTGAGAAATACAAAGCTTAACAAAAAGTCACCGAAAAGACAATTCATATAGGAAAAATAAGTAATCCTCCAGTAAAGAAATGACAAATACATAAGATGAATGAGTTGAAGGAATTACAGACTGGAAAAAATCCTACAGCAGTTACCAACACCTACATGTTCTAAGATGTTTTCTTGTTACTACTTATTGTCCAGGTGAACAGATGGACTGATGCCTCTGAGAGCAACTCTCAAGCTTAGAATATAGAAAGGAAGAATATTCTGTACTCTCTGTTGACAGTAAATTGTTACAAAACAGACTGATAGTTTGTACAGAACTCGTGTTTAATTTGGAAAGACTCAAAAAACTTGCAGCGGAACTTGCTATTTCCTTGCTTATTTTCTTCCTTCTATGCTGTTAAAAAATCAAGTATCTGCAGCATAAGTTAAAGCAGTCCATTCTGACGTTCAGTTACTGAATTTTACTGTCATACAATATTCTATTGTTACTAGAGCAAAAATTCCATAACGAATTCATGTCCCTTTTACCACTACAGTAGCGAGTTAATATAAAATTATTTACTATACCTTGAAAATAGAATTTGCTAGGCAATCTTTTACCATCTTAAGGTTTTTAGCCCACACTTTTTCTCTGCTATAACCCTGCTGTACATATTAGAAAGAAGCATTTAAGCAGGGGAAAGAAAAAGTTCTCAGTTTTTTCTGATACATGAGGAAACCTTCATATAGCCATCTTGCTCAGAGAGCAGCTTTTTAAAGAAACTTAACTGTGATATTTTGAAGGATATGCAAGGAGAAAGAAAGAAGTAATGGAAAAAATGGAAAAAGAAAAAAAAAGGAGCTAGGTATGAGGACAGCAGTGCTCTGCTTAATTCTGTATTCCTCTGCTTTGAGATTGCTGGTGTAAAGAAAAATGATGGCAAGCAGTTGTCTTTACAAACAATGTGTGGCTCCCCGCAGTTAGCACAGTTTAGCAAGGGTGAATAAGACTAATTTGATGACAAGGATGATAAGCAGGACCTAACCCCATGCTTGGTTAGCCTATTCCCAGTCCTAAGGAGCCCCAGACCAGAAACAGGCACTACTAATAGGGCTCAAGGGAGTGTCTGACTTTGATACTGCAACCCTGAATGCCTCTGCTCATTTTTTTTCTCAACGCTAGTCATGCTTTAACTCCCTCTGGCTCTCTGCCTTTCAGCCTTCTGTGCACTCAGCAGACTGGTGCCAGCACATGCCCAGGAGGGGCTCATTCTTCATTGGGATATGGACACTCACATCGATAAAACAGCAATTTTCCTAGCTCTCAGCCCTACGAAGGACTTCTTGGCTGCACCTACAGCAGCAGACTCCATCTCAAATGCAGTGGTAGCATCTGCTCTTGCTTCTCTGTTTCTAAAGGAACAGGGTGAAGTCCCTTTATACAGCATTTGGAGCTACAACCTTGGATGAGGGATACAAATCCTACTTAAGTCTAAAGTGATTTGGACCAAGATATTTCACTTGCCTTAAAAATTTACTAGCTCCTCAATGGCAGTGGCAGTTGATTTTAAAATATGTGAAAAGCTTTACGATTAGGTGGAAAGAATCCTTTCCTCCGTGTTGTTGCCCTAGCTGCTAATCCAGACACTACTCTTTTCCCTTGACCTCTTTCTGTCTCTTGCCTATTGACTCCCTAATGATTTGTGCCCAGGGCGCATCTGCAGCAGTAGAGCGTGGAGTCTGCCTGCTCCTTCCATGTGCAGTTGCAGTTTCATAATGGGGGACACTGTGGGAGGGGGTGGCAGAGATTATTTGAATCTCCTCTTTCGGAAAGATCACGAAAAAAAGACTGTATTCTGAATCATTGGTTTTGCCATTCTCCTCTGGCTAGGCTTAAAAGGTGTAATACCCTAATTTCTTTGTAAGGAAAGGAGTTATCACTCTGAGAACAAGGGAAGATTCCCAGCTGTAAAACCCAAGGAGGAGAACCCGCTCCTGAAGAGGACTAGATGTGCCTTATTGAGAGATGGAGGAAGGCTCATCTGAATCCTGTTCTGGGCAGCCTCTTCCATTGCTTGTCCTGTGTGTCTCCATACTTAGAGGCCTAGGTAAATTCATTCAGTTAGTGGACATCCTAGACACCCTAAGGAAACTTTTGGTTCCTATCCTGAGGCTGACAGTTAACAGCCAGACGTGCTAATGCTGATTTTGAGTGCAGTACAGGCTTTGGTCTGTCAGGTCAGATGCAGGCTAGACATCAAACAAAACAAAGATTAAATTATCAAGAAGTATCCCTCCCAGCCAAATTAAATGGAAGTAAATAGGATTCTTATACTGTAATCTTTCATGAGGGAGTGAAATCAAAAGCAGTGAAAATGGTATTAGGAAATATTATTGCCCAGCATACGAATAGGATGAAGGACTGTACAGTTCTGCCACAACAATTAGAGCCTGCTGGTGCCCTAACAAGCATCTCCCATAGCACAGAGGACAAGGAGAACCTCCTGACTCATCCATACTTCAGTTCAGTTAACTGAAATTAAATTTGGGTTAACCTACAAATTAATTGCTTTCTATCTCATCTTCTATAGTATGAAATGTGATACTTCTCCTTCTTCAGTAAAGTACTTCAAAATCTGCAGATTAAAAGCAAAAACAGCACTGCTTTGGATGCAGCAGTACTTCTGAGATACCTTAAATATTCTTAAGAGCTTTTATTAACATTAGACATTCTAATAAACATTCTAGTCACACCACAGTTGGAAAACTATTACTGAAACTGCTTTAGTGGGAGTAAAGGAGGGATGAAAATGAAGTCCAAGTAAGACAAAGTGGTTAACATAATACCATAAAGTTTTTATGATATGTGACAAAGATGATTTTAATTTACATCAAAACAGTTGCATCCGTGGGATAGAATATTTTCCTTCAAACAAATGTCACATGAAACTAGTCATAGCACATTAATTCAGATCAGATACCAATGGCATAGATCATTGTTTCCGAGCTCTACAGCTCTATATTAGAAGCAGAAAATGGAAGGTATAATCAGGTTTAAGCCAATGACCTCTTGATCTATATAGTAAAAAAATGCAGAACTCTTTTCAGAACTAAATTATAAAATCTGTCCGCAAAGTTAGATTTCTTGAAAGACAAATCAGAGATGAAACTTTGCTCAAGTGAACAACGGCAATCCTTCTGTTAATTTCAGAATGGTTAGTTGTTTGTTCCTTCAGCTAAACGCAACAACATGTGAGAGGCGAGAACAAGAGAACAAAAGCTATTCTTTTGTGAATAAAGTCAATTTAGAAATAAAAAACTTACTGCAACTCAAGAAACAGCAAGGCAGACGTAAATCATGCTCCGGGAACCTAAACTCTGGAGCAAGTTATAAATAATGAACACTCCCCTACACAGACACACATGCATCCATGATCTGTAACCCAAAGAAATTTAATCATGTATTAAAGGCATCTCAGTTTTCATACTTGCAATGCATTGTAAATATAAACATATACACATATATACAACATTTATGTGGTATTTGAAACACGTTTTTTAGATTGACTGAAATGTGTCATATCAGTTCTACTTTTTAGTCTATGTCCATATCTTTACATCTGCATGTATGTAAATATACACACACGTGTGTCTGCTTATGAAACTACTGCCCAAACTGGTAGATGTAGAAGCAGTGGACACTGAGCAGGTGTGGATGGCAATGGAACAGCTACTACTGCCTCACGAACACATAATGGGAGAGAAAAAGAGCACTGAATTCAGTGAGGCACCGAGCAGGGAGGGATAGGTAGAAAGAGGAGAGTAAAAATGAAGATGGTGTTACTGTGTATAAGAAATAAAATCTTTTTCTTTCTTATGCCTTAACCCTTTTATCAATGATGATGTGAAAGAGAGTTTTGATCTCAAACAGTTCACTTAAAAAGATGCACAGCAGAAGGCTGAATCCTGCAATCCTGAAAATCATTTAGAGCATGAGACTTCTGTAATGTATCTGGAGATCTGAAGTTTCCTTTAGGGTTTTGGAAAAAATACAGCAAGGAAAAGAAGGCAGTTGCTCATACAAAGATTCTGATACATGTGTCCATGACATGGCAATAAAGTGGATTTACTAAAGAATTGTTCATTATATGCAAACAAGGGTATCTACTGGATAGCTAATATGAATAGAAAACCTTGAAGATACAGAATTCTTGAAATCCATTTTATCTTTCGTTTCTACTCTGCCCATTTTTGCATTTTCCATGTCAGCAGTGATTATCAGCTTCACTTTAATTATCAATGAATATCTTTCAAGTTTACTGCTTTTTCAGGTTTTGAATCATAAATATGATAAATATGACAACTGTTTACAACCAGCTATTTCTAGTGGATTGACTTTAGCTGCTAACACAAAGGTCTAAGTTTTTTTTAAATGAACCAAATGAAAAATATTTCTAAGGACATTTTAGAATAAGGTCTTCAAATGTTTCAGCAAAAAAAATATTTTACTTATTTGTTTATTTATCTATTTCCCACATATCTTGTGTTCATTTTATAAGTTATTCTGTTCAGGTTCTTATGTCATTGACTGACACCTTAGCACCTGGCTTCGGTACTTATTGTTATAGAATTGTGCTCTGCAGTGCAAAAAGGGAAGGTTAAAGTGTAAGCAGGATATGTTTGAATTTACACTGCTTCAACTTTCTGTACTTGTAGAGGTGCTTTTGTTCTATATGAGAATGAGAGAAGGATGACCTGAGTGCATGCAGCTGCTTTACTTCCTTAACACTTCTGAGTCTAGGTGCCTGACTGTGAAAATGTACCTTTAGGAGAGTTCAACTTTGGTGCATCTTCATTCTCTTATTGACAAGCTTCTATCATAGGATGTCCAGCAGTAGAGAGGATTTCTTTTGCAGAGCTTCTGCAGACTGATTTACCACTAGAGAAAGTATAGCCAAGATGGAACAAGGAAGATGTTGTAGGAAAATCTGTGAAGACAAGAGATTTTTAAACCCCTGCTTTGGTGTTCGTTATGGGATAAATAGCAGTTGGCAGCTAATGTGTGCTACACAGTAAATAAATACACCACATTAATATACTTAATGAATTAATTTTGCTTCCTTTAAGTTAGAACAACTAGAACAAAACAAACAACAAACAAAAGACTAGTTTCAAATTATTGGAAGCTAAAACCATTCATTAGAAACCAGAGGTAAAATGACTCTATCTGAGTCATTTCTACCTTATGTCAATCCTTTTGAGCATGCATTTAAAGTGAATTCATTATTTTATTTGTTGGATGGTGAAGGAACAGCAGATAGTGAAGCTATGGTTGCTGCTAGCAGCTGTCAGGAAAGCATACACAGCCCGTTATAAAAAGGAAGACCCTTTACAAAGCTTGAGAACCATTTCAGGCTCTGCTGGGAGCTCTGGCTGCTTTGTTGCTGTTTTGTTATCCGCCCTGTTGCTGAGTGCAGTTGGGTTCATGTTGGAGGACCCACATGATTCCTTCACATTGGTTTGGATCTGAATACGCTCACAAAGTTCTGGAGTAATTTTGAAACAAAGCCTCTGAATACTCCTCTTTTGAAAAGAAATTAGTTTGTGCACACCTACATCTCTCTAAGAACTGAAACAACAGTAGTAAGGAGAGACAGACTGGGATCCCTCTGTGTTTCAAAACTGCAGTATGGCTTCCAAGCAAATCTAATCCAGGCAACCAGCACAGCAACAAAGTCACAAGAACAAGTAACTGTGGTTGATTTTTTTATTTTTTTTTATTTTTTTTCTGTCTCAGCAGTAAAATGTGCCAAGACCTGGTATATTTGCTAAAGAGTCAGAAATAACCTTGCATAGCTATATGCCTAGTGATATAGTAACATATTTAGCATACCTGTGAGCTCTTTCTACGACTGTAGCTTTGTAGCTCTTGGTGAGCTCTCAATGGCATCTGTTACTAACACCAAACACAACAGGAGAAACACTATATTTACACATCGGAGAAAAAGTGCTTTTAAAAATTGAACTACTTTGGATTTTCAGAGGTATATCCATGTGGGAAAGGCATTTTCCAGATTACAAATAATATATTTTTAAAATGTATTTTCAACATAATAGGAACTCATGAAACATTTAGAAGTGTATGCACAGCTTAGAGGAAGTCTTCTTGTTTTGAGCTACATTTTGAATGTCAAGCAAGCATTCAATCAATGTCCGTGTGTAAGTATTTAAACAGGTAAAAGATCACTTAACAGAACTCACATTTGATTGGCAAATATTGGAATGTGATTGTGTTTCTGTGTTATTTAAGATGATAACAAATGAAATGTGTGCATCGGGAAAAAAACTGGTTTCGGATAGATGACCTTTACCTGCTGATAAAAGTAAAATGAAACAAATTACTTTTCAGCCATTCTGAAACTACCCTATTGTGCTGAAGTGAACTGTAAGCATTTCATCAGGAAGTTCTAATAGGTTTGCAAAGAATTTTTTTTTTTTTTTTTTTTTTTTTAACAGAGAATAAAATATGATAATCTCCCAGGAGACTTCTGGAAAGATACTTTAAATTGTCATTTTGTGCAAGGAAGCAAGACGGAGTTCTACAGAGCTGAAGCGTTGATAGTATGATTGCTCTAGCTAGATTTATTTTTCCATTGGGGTTTTACATCACTACTTTATTTAACTGCAATATATAAGGGAAATTACATAAAAGAGGTAGTGTTGAGGCAAATGTAGCACAGAATTTAGATTTGGAATATCTTGCTTTTCAAAACCTAAAAACAATAGAGATCTTTCCACTGTTAAAACTGCTTAAAATACAGAAGTAAGTTTTATTTCTTTTACAAATTCCTGCACTGTGTAAGCTGTTGTTCTCTATTAGTGTAGAGCAAACTGAGATTTAGTGGACAGTTAAGTGTAAACAGAAAAATTGACTTCCTACTCATAAAATGACATTCCTGTTTTCATTGGACAAGGAGAATTAAATTCTCTGTTTCTTACTTTCTCTCCATGCATTACTTCAGAAATGTTTTTGGATTCTGATGCATTGGGAATAAACTATGCTTTTTCCTATGTAGGTTCAAGGATACATGATCACAAAATATTAAATAAATTGAGTTTTTTTGAGCATTATCACTGAGTAAAAACAAAACCCTTCCTGAGAACATCGATTTTGTTAACATCCTCTCAAGGATATTATTTGGCAACTTACGAAAAAATTTTCAGGAAAGCCCATAAATTCTTTAACTTCAGCAGAGCTTGTTAGAGAGGGAATGGTTTGAAAGATTTCAATTTTTCCCTGATAAAAGTGAGAACATTTTCAGCATCATAAAAATTTACAGAGGACAAGAAATTATTCTAACTATCAATCTACCATACTTTTAATCACTGGAGGACATCTCATTCTATGTGATATCTGAAGGGCATGTACACATTATTGCATGATGTCAGGATGGGACATGACAACAGCATCGCCTCCTGATCTGTACAACTGAGACACCTAAGGAAAAACAAAGGCAGAAGTGCATCTCACCTTGATGCAGATATAGCCTGAGGGAGAACTAGCTTCTATCAGGAGGCAGTCCAGCAACTGTAGCTGAGGCAGCAGATACCAGAGGGGTACATTGCTTCCCAGTTGTTCCTACATTTTTTATGCTAGGATAATTTGAACTATTCACCTCAAAGAGCTTGAATCTGTAGCATCCTCATCTAAAATCTCTCTCTCTCTTTTTTAATTTCATCCTTTTACCCTGTTTCAATTTTTATGCTCTTGCGGCAAAATCACAGTCTTTCCATATCTCAGAATTAGCATCAAATATGGGAATATAGCTATCCTAACATCTAACTGAACAGTACAAATAGTACTGCCTTTGTCACTTTTTTGTCTCTATTCTTCACTTAGCTTTTAATGTTTTCTGTGCATTTTCAGTGTATTTTAAGGCTGATCAACAGAATTTTGAGTGTTCTTGGTAGGTTATAATGTATTAATCGAACAATAATTACTACATAAATAGAAAGTGCTGGAATAAAGACCCATGACAAGATCAGGAGGAAAGCTTTTCTTTCTGGTAGTATACTCCAATGAGAGAAAGAAAATATTATGATTGTCTAACTTCCTAGATAAGAAACTGGAAGGTTTAGGACTCTGCTCAGGAAAGACAGGACTTCCATGCTTGCATAATAGAGACTGTTGATAGCAGTATTTGTTTGCTAAGGATATTTTGTATTACATACAGACATGAAGAACCATTAGCTTTCTGTGTTATTTTCTGTTCAGAATGAATTTCACACATACAAGTACGTATCTAATTAAAACAGCTACTGTGACTTTCAAGAAGACATGATGCAGCATGTATTACTTCCCTGACACTTCCTGCAGACTTCTTACTTAATCTTACATGCATTCCATACCAGCCTCACTCTGCTTATTACTCATTACCAGAGTTACTCCTTGTTCCCCCAGCAGCAGACACACCAAATTAAAAATGTCTGCAGACCCCAGATCACTGATGCTTTCAGGGGAAACCTCAGTCTGATTAATCAGTGTAAGTAAAAATCCTATGAATTTGGTTGTAACAGTGGTGTTCTGCATACATTTTCTGGACTATGACTGCAGGCTTTGTGTAGATGACTATGTAAATGCCTCATTTGAAATGAGGCCTTATGTTTTTCCAACTGTGTTCCTCTCTGTCTGCTTCCAGCCCCACTTCCTTCCCCACTCTGCTCCTAAAGCCTTCTGGAAGATTTTGAATGCAGGTGACAGCACTGACAGTAACTGATATCACTCTGAGCCACCAAGTCACTATTTATCACGTTCTCCATATGCCAGTTCCGGAGCCCTGTACTGTCTCAGCATCCATCCAGCAAGGGTCCTGTACTCTTATTTACTGAAGCTGCATACCATGCTTCACATTTAACATGTTTTTACCTTACCAGCTGAGAATTACTGTTTGGCAACGGTCCAGATATGACCACTAAGCAATCAAGATCTATATACTCCAAACCGATCGTGCCATAATGCCACATAAAGCAGCATAATAAACAAATGATAAATAATAATAAAGAAAGCTAATGCAAAATTGAACATAGGAGACTGAAGTCATTTGTGCTTTAGCTGCAGATGAGAAAATCACTTAGATACAGTAAAGCAAGGGACGCTTAATAAGTAAATGATATCATGACGGCAATTCTTTGCCCTCTTTCTGCCGATGATAATGGAAAAGCCTCCTAAGCAGAGTGATTCCAAATGGAGGGTTGAGAAAAGACAATTGAAGTACATTCTTCTAAGTGCAAAAGGATATCCTGCAAATTTGGGTTTTCCTGGTCCCTGGTTGTCAGCACACTCCCTCTTGCTTTGCATCTTCGAAAGCTGTTGTCACTCCCTGCATAGTAAGTCCCACTTTCTCTGTAATAATGTAATAGAAGCTTGCTACCGTGTGTCATAAGTCTGAAGGTATAAATCCATTATTAACAAAGAGTATAAAACCCAGTATTTGAATGTCATTCCCGCAGCTCAACTAACACTGTCACTGTCATTTCGACATCCTAATTACATCAACATTGTCCTTTGTGACTCATACTGCAGATTTCCAATCAAAATGTCTCTGATGAGGGAAGCAGCATTATGGCAGTTAAGCAGCAGAACAACATCTCTAAATAATCCCAGCTTGTTCAGCATCCACCTACACTGTAGGAAGGTGATCTGAACAGCTAAACATGTCAGGAAGGTACACATCACCCTGTGAAGGGCTCTGGCTGAAACTGATGTTCAGAAAACATTAAATATGGCTGAGAATTGCCAGGGTTCAACACATCTCATTTGCTGAACCCCATAATAGTTAGTGATCATGAAGAAAAGGTGAAAAAATATACCGTATGCCTGTTGGTAACCTTCCTGTATCCTTGCAAACATGCATGGAATCACATAAACAATATAGATTTATGGGAAATATTCTCAGTATTTTGTTAGTTTTTTTCTTAATTTTTATTCAAGTGCATTGGAAGCCTGAACTTGCCTTAGGTTCCTGGGCACCATATCATAGTGCATGCACAAGAACCAGTACTCCTGTTTTCCCAAGGAAATATATTTCTAGGAATTGCAGCTGTAGAGCAAAGCTTGGAAAAGCAACTTGGTATACCCCCAAAACAGAGTACTGATTACAGGAAGTCCTATTATGAGATTATGAGACAGCAGTTCCTGAAAGGCTTGTTGCTTCTAATATGGCCTACAGAAATCAATTCTTGTTTGTTCAAGGCAAAAGACTATTAATATGAGAAGTTTTAAATATTCTCAAACAAATGCTTTTTTCTTTTTTTTTTTTTAAACTTTCACTTTTGATGCCACAGCATGACTGCAGACTCGTTTATGTCGGGAGTAAAATTATGCCAAACACACTTCTCTGCAATGCTTCATGAAGAACTGGCATAGCAACTGAGTATGTCCAAAATACAAAAATGTTTGGGCGATGTCGTCTGCTTTCTGGAACTCATCAGAGATGAAGAATGCGAACGGTCTGAACTGCTGTATTGCCATCACAGAATGACTGCTATAACAGATAAATTTTTCACTGATTCAGTATTCCTGTGCTACTTCACTGCATTCTAGGTATAAGCTAGACAGTATGTGCCATGATGTGTTTTTTTGCATATTTTTTTGTTACTCTTTTTTTCTCCCAAACTGATCCATGAATATTAGTAGTGGAGTCACATCCTCTCTACAGTGCCCCTGGACTGGGACACAGGGAAGACCAGGTCAACTCCTTAGGTTTGTCTCTTCCCTGAGAACAGTATACCACTGCTGTCTGTGCAAGATTGCCATTTGATAGAATAAGCAATGCCTGTGGTTTGCCTGCAGCTCTAAAATCACTGCCCCACTGTTCCAATGTGAAGAAAGGTAAAGAGCACTTTTATTCAGTGATAGTGGAAAAAATTACAGAACTTCCGGGAGAATGACATACAAAAGTCAAAAGGAAAACATCTTGTTTTAGAGATACTTATAAATCATTTAAAGTGCCTCAATTCTTATTTTATTTGAAAAATAAATCAAGACTCTTACAGAGCTTTTACTTCTGGAATCTGCTTTTGGGCAAAACTCCCTTTCTGAGAACTGTCTGTACTGATCAAGATGCTGACCAGTCTTCCAGAATGCATACATCCCTCTCGTTCACATTCTACTCTCTTCCACCGAACTTCCTGAGATTCTCAAACTTAACACTTAATTAAGGTAAGTTTTTTGTCATTGCTTCTAAAGAATTGCTGGCTATTACAACACAGGTTTGGAAATGACAGTATCTGTAGGGTGTAGCTAGATAGAGTTCTTACCTGGCCAAACTGCCAACAAGCTTCTTTTTCAAAATATCTGTGGAAAGGACTGTGGACTGGGCTGGTATTTAATTTTGCAATGAAAAAATGTTTTATCTTACTTAAATAAAATCCTCCCTCTAAACCAACAGGAAGCATTTTATCTCAGTACAAATTAATTTACACGTTTAACGTATCATTTAATCCCTTTACATACAACAACACTCTTTAGGCTACCATTAAAGAGAAACTACGTTCATATTTTTTGGCAGAGACTGGACATCAGAGGAACCAAATAGGAGGATATTTGCAGTTTTGGTGCTGGATGACATTTATATTTGCTTTGTTTGAGTGATGGGACAGGTGATGGTGACACTGAGAATTCAGATTTCCATCCTAATTTAGTTTCCTCAAATGTAAAATGAAATTAAATATATGTGCCTTCTTTGTAAAGAGTTCTGAAAGAGTGTTCGAAAATTACCATGTAACTAAGATTAGTTCCCTTGTATTGACTGACTCCTTGTTGAGTGAGTGCTTGGGAGCTATGGCTGCTTTACGTTTGCAAACCAGCAGAGATAAGATCTAAGAGATTGGAAAAATTAAAACCAATGTATGATCTATGAAATTACTTCTTAATATCAATTCTACATCATCTGCAAGAATTTTACATCATCTGCATTTTACTGATGTCAGGAGGAACTCTGACTTTCTTTACTGATAGACCAGTAGGTCTATATCTTTTGATATTGAGGGCTCCTGACCTCCAAAAAAGCACAAAGTCACTTTACTTCAAAGATACGTGAGCACGTCATCACAGACATTATCTAGCTAAGATGACCTATTCAACCTCTAGCACAGTATCAGCAAGGTAGGCTGTGCTGATGATACTAAAGACAGCCCACAACAGGGCTGGCTCAGTCATCAAGTACAGCCAGAGCAGATATACAGCAGAGATCTCATCAGCACAGACATTGTGATAGTCTTTATAAATAATAGTTCATTATGTTTTCTATTAATTTGTGCAAAAGGACAATGAGGTTAGAATTTTGCTCACGTAAGATGATCACATACTGCACAGCACTTGGCATCTGAAAGATTGCCATGCACTTTTTCTGGTGGTCATCAAGATATTTTGTTCTGATCTTGTATGACTTGAATACCTGGAAGAAGCATATAGTCCTAAGATGAGATGAAGAAGGG